TTCTTGAATGAAAATATTAAGATTCAAGAAAAAAAATGCAGAAAAATATTCAGGCCATCTTAGAGCTTTGTGAAACTTATTTGCAGCAGCTGAAGACAGGGTGCTTGGTAACTTTAAGTAGGTTCTGAATGCATTCACCATCCAAGAAACCCTTCCATTTTAAATTCAATAGAGCATGGGGTTCGTATAGGCTTATCTTGCAGGAAACTAAAAGTCACGTTTCAAAACAAATGTTTTGGCTGCATTTACAAGATGAATTACAAATCTTGCCTGAGAAAGCAAGGTTAATATAGCTGCCTTTCTGAACTGCATATTTTTTAAGTGCGAATTTTCACCTATACAAATATCAACATGAAATACATAAGCCACTTGCAGTTATCAAGAATTAAACCTAAAATAAGAAACCTGTGCCAAAAAATGCAGTCACACATTTCACACTAAATGTTTATATGCTGTTTTTTATGCCTTAATTTAGGTCTATTGTGCACTCTAGTTGCACTATAGTTAAGTAAAATTAAAATTCTTCTCTGTAATGACTAATAAATAAGGATTGATTACAGAAGAACTTGGAATATGGTGAGTTCTAAAGAAGAGTTTAAAGAAAATTTGATATTTTTGATATTCTCATCACATTCAAAATTTAATCTAAAGAATAAAATTATTTTTTGCTATGTATCTTTTTTAACTTCTTTTAAATAAAGATGGTTGTACTTGTATATCCATGTTTTAGGAGGAGACCCTATAATGCAGTCACTGGTGTGCCATGAGTAGGATATAGGTGTGCCGCAATCAAATACATGTATTTGACATTTTGCAATTTTTTATCATGTATTTAATACACAACGACAATTTTTTCCCTTAATAATGTCTATTTTAATTGTTTTTATATATTTCACTGTTGTGTGGTTGTGTGTGTGATTGTAAGTGTGTCAGCATTTGAATTTTTTCGGCACTTCCTTGATAACTCGGAACTCTTTGGTGAGCCACGAAATTCCAGAAAGATTTTTTGTGCACCACAGGTGTGAAAAGGTTGCGGAGTACTGCTGTAATGCATCATAGACATAACTAAATCTAATGTAATGAACTTCCTTAACTGTTTATCAAAAATGTCTGCATGCTACCTAAAAATAGATTTAGTTTGGAATTATTTTTAAGGGTAATTACTAATTAAAATTAATTCTTTGTGCTTAAGATGTCACGATTTTGTAAGATATGTATGGTGACATTTTAACGTGGTTAAATGATGACAAACGCACCAAATGTCAGAGTTATACTCGTAAGTAATATTTGAAAGAATTTTGTCAGCTGACACTTACTTCCATTTGAAAGTAGAATATCAAATATAAAAAACAGCAATTTGAACAAAAATGTTCTTTCAAGTATTATATGATTTTTTAAAATTTTTCAAAGTTCGGAAAATAGCAGGCTTTTAGAAAAATTTTCAGCTTTAGTACTTTAAAGTTTTTAAACTTTAAGTTATAAAGCATTAAAAAAACTTTGTATGTCATGTTATTTGGAATGACTAATTAAATTTAAACATGTTTTTTTTAATAATAATGTTTCCACCCTGTTTAAATTTACATTTCATTAGTTATTTAAGATCCATTAAAGAATTCATCTCTTTTTCATAAATCATTGGCTGCCTCGTTTATTGAGAAGAAATGCTCGTAAGTTTGGTGTGAACCTTTCTGGAATTCCTGTCAGCCTAGATCTCATGTTTGGCAGTTGTAACTGATCTATCTCTTGTTGACAACTGTAGGAATTATATGCAATCATTAATAAAAAGTGTTCCTACCTTAACTGGATGTGTGAGTGGTGCTGATTGCTGCAGCATCTTGGCAAAGATTTTAAAATAAAATATTTAACCATGATCTTATCTTTCAAGAAATAGTAAATGTATCTCACCCAAAGTAGTATCCATTACTCTTACTAGCCCAGCATCCCGTTTATACGAAGAGCTTCGATCAATCTCTTCAGCCCAGCATCACATATGTGTAACTTGAAAAATGCAACAATTTTTTTTTTTTTAAATTTTTAAGTGCCTGTAGATGGTGGTAAATGGTAATGGTTTTCACATCAGTTAAACCATGAGGCTTTTGACCTTCATGTCTGAACATCAGTTTCTGTTCTGTGCTTCTGGTTTTGATAGATTTATTGGTGTAAACAAACTGGAAATCACAGCTCTTTAAGAGTTAAAGGGACACCGGCATATTTGTTTATTTCATTAGGATTTTTTTTTTTTTTTTTTTTGTATTTGTTTTTATTCTTTGCGATTTTCGTGATTAGAATGTGGGGAAATGCATCCAGCTCAATTTTTTTTCCCCAAGAGAATGTGGGAAAACGCATCTAGCTGACTTAATGGGTGTAACTAGTAAAATTCAGACCTGTTGTCCTTTTTACTTCCTTGTACTTGTACGAAGTAAAAAGGAAGTAATGTAATAACGAAAAGTTTAACGATGCAATTTAACGATGTTTTTGCATGACATCTGTATGTAAGGGCAGGATAATGGACTCTTCCCCCCCCCACAAAAAAAAAATAAAACTAATTTAAAATTTCGTGGCATCTGTGCGTACGTATGTACGTATCTCGCATAACTAAAAAATGAGTAGCCTCAAACGTTGAATTTTTGTATATAGGACTGCTATAACATGTAGATGTGCACCTCGTATTTTTGTTGCAATCTGCCATACCAAAAGTATACAGTTAAAAGTCTTTAATCCGGACTCGTTGGGACTTCAGCGATTCTGGATTATGCATCATCAATTTAAATCTGGTAAGATGGCATGCAGAAATTATAAAATTAAAAATATGAAACCATAATTTATGAAATAAAGAGCAATTATGATGAAAAGGGTATCAAAATTTACACAAAAAAGCATAATATTTGTTTACTTTATTAAACGTTTCTTTCAACACGCGCATGCGTAAAGCATACATTATGTGTAGTCGAAATTAGAAAATTGCAACCAGAAAATTCGATGTGTATTCGTGATATTTATAATGACGAGGAATTTGATTTAAATCATATCAAAGACGGAGTACATCGAGATGAAATACTACATTTAGTAAGGAATTATAAGTCGAAAAAAATAAAAACATCTGCCCTGAAGATATGAATTTAATGAAAATGCATTTTTTCTGTTTTCCATAATACACTACCCAACATTGAAAATACGACACCAAGAAGGACTGGCCCGAAAATTGTGCAAATTTCAGAATAGGCACATGTCACCGAGTTGTGCGAAGGATGTGAAATACGCAGCTCTCCAGCGCAGGCTGAAGAAGATATAAGGGAAGGAACCTGCAGAATGTTTCATTTTTGTGCCATTATTTCTGCTAGGGAAATCATTGTAGAAAATTTGTTCTTGTCTCAGAGGATGGGTATAATAGCAGAAAATGCTGGGCGGTTGTCAGTGGAGGCAGTTTCAGCAGGCAGATGATTTTGCGAGGAGCATGGTGATTGGACTGAGAAGGGCAGGTTGGTCCATACAGCAAATGTTAGCTGACACAGACACTTGGACGCATCCACAGTGCACTGGTTGTGGCAATGATGGTTGGAACAAGGAAATATGGTAAGTTTGAGAGGTGCTGGTGCATCGAGAGTGATGTCAGCACGCATAGATCAATGCATCTGCCAACAAGCAGTCATGCACTTGTAAGGCACTTTTACCTCCATTCTGTGCAGCATGTTCAAGACACCCTGGATGTTCCCATATCTAACAGAACCATGCCGTTGATTGGTGGCTAGTGGCCTGCACTCATGGTGTCCATTATGAAGACTACCATTGACCACACATTGTAGATGCCAATGGCTGAAATGTTGCTTAGCTCAAGCGACGTGGACACTGGAATGGCACAGGGTCATGTTTTCAGATGAGTTATGCTTCTGTTTCTCCAATGATAGTCGCCGCATACGAGTGTGGCATCGATGTGGACACAGGTCCAGTTTGGCAGCAGTTGTGGGATGCCCCACCATGCAACAATGGGCATATTTATTTGGGTCGCAACTGCGTACAATTCCAGGTCACCTTTAGATCGTATTCAAAGCACTTTGACGGCTCAACAATATGTGGAGGATGTGCTGCGGCCAGTGATATTCCCCTACGTTAAGGGAGTGCCCAGTTCTCTTTATTAGCAGGATAATGCCCAACCACACACTGCTCATATCAGCCGGTGTGCTCTGCAAGGTGTACAGATGCTTTCCTGGCTAACCTTCTCTCCTGATCTCTCATCAAACACATTTGGGATGTAATTGGACACCATTTGTAGACCCAGCCATTGCTCCATTCAGAAGATGAATTGTGGCAAATGGTTAACAGGGAATGGAGAGCCATTTCTCAGGACACCATCCACAGTCTCATTCACTCTGTACCTAGATGTGTTGCTTCGTGTATCACCATCCAAGGTGGTCCTACAACCTACTGAGCCAATGCTGTTCTCACTCTGTATTATGCTTATCATTTTGAAATAAAGATCACTTATTGTTTGTTGCTGTCTCTCTATTTGCAGATTTTCATCACTTTCTGGCCACTCCTTCTTGGTGTAGCACTTTGAATGTTGGGTAGTGTACAATGTGTTTTCTAGTAAAAAATGATACATGTATAACTCTTTTTTGTAATAATTGTGATTGATTTTTATTGAAAGAAGTAAACGAAAATTTTCTAAAATTTGCAATTATCAAAATGTATTGCAGCTTTTTAATAAATTTCTTTCCATATTAGTATTGATATATTGTGGGAGTGTTATGAGATTTTGTGCAATAGTCATATAAAGTTCAAATTTATTGTGATTTTCTTTACTTAAGTTTAAAAATCATGTTGCAAGAATTAAAGTGGAAATATATGGTATATCTATAAAGCTTTAAGATATTTTATTGCTTTTTAATTTTCTAAAATTTAGGATGTCGATTTCTGATATGATTGTTTAGTCTCTAATATGTAAATTATTTCCCTTTCTAATTTTTATGAATAAAATTATCAAGTAATTGACTGTCTTCTAGGTCCGAGGCCAGCAAGGTTTAATGGTGGAAACTTTGCTATCAAATGACATTAAAAATGCATTTGATTCTGCTACAACTAATTCCATTCATATATCTGGCTATGAAGAGATTTTTCAGCATGGCGATGATGGTTTGTAGTTTTATCAGATATAGCAGATGTAGTTTAAATTTAGTGCAGCACATTTTTTTTAAAATTTGAATATTTATGATTTTTGTCTTCAAAAATGACCATTCTGTTGATGTTTGAATTTTTTAATGTATAATATGTTCATGGTTAGAAGTTCTTTTTGGGGGGGATATCAACACAGCAGATGCAATTTAAGTTTAGTGTAGGATATTTTTTTAAATTGCTGCTTAGACAGTGTAGTGAATAGGGAAGCCTACTGTGACTACAAAGGGCCTGGGTTCGAATCCCGGATAAGGCATCACTGTAATTGTCTGTCCCTTCATGGAAGGTAACAGTGACCTGCCTGTTAGCTGCTTCCACAATAAAGTGACCGCCATTTCCGACTTTAGTTAGCCTAAGTCGGCTTATTGCCCAACAATTGGGCCAAAAAAATTTTTTAATTTGAATATGTGTTATTTTTGTCCTCAAAGATGACCATTCTATTGATGTTAGAAAAATGTTCAGGTTTTTTTTTTTAAATGTGTAATATGCTCTTGAATATATTTTAATAATATGGTAAAACTCTGCTTAACATAATTAATGAAGTAAACTAGTATTTAATGTGTCTTGAGATTTCCCCTGCTATCTTCTTCCTGTTTCTTAAATGTAGGACAATGTACCAGTCATCTGTTGCTGTGGTTGCTCTTGGACTGACCATCGGACAGCTGTTCCTGTAGTTGGAAATGCTCTCCGAAGCCGTTAAATGATGCTATGAACAGCCCCAAACTAAACTGCCAAACTTATCACACTTCAGCCCCCTCAAGTTGTTCAACATTTCACAGAGGCAGCACCTCGACGTTGTTTAAACTGATATACGTCATGCAACAGCTTCCCAGAAATGCTGAGCTCACACCACCAGTGATCTATACCCCCTCTGACACTCCCCCATTATGTCTAGCTGTATATATGTGCATGTGGTAATATACCTGACCTTAGTGAATCTCCTGATTGGTCTTTAAGTCTGCTGTGCCTCTTTTGTTCCACTGATAAGCTAATTTTTCAACTTAATTCTTAATTTTTACACACCAATTTACATAGTGATATTTGTGGCCCTATATCAGCACAGTCAGTAGGGGGAGCAAATTATTTTATGTTAGTGAAAGATGATTACAGTGGTTTTAGAATATATTTTTTTAGCTTGAACACAAAAATGATTTTGGAATGAAACATTTTCCAAATTCTTAACTCGGTTTGGTTGTAACCAAAGTGCTGGGAATTTGAGATAAGAAAGTACTTTTAATTCTATATGAAGATGATGCTTTATTGTTTTGTGAAGAACAGAAAATATTAATTAAAATTGTAGCTGACCCGAGGAAGAAGTTTGAAGCAACCGGATCTTTTGTTGGAATGCAAATTAATTATACAGCAGATGGCTAAATTTTCGTGCATTCAGAAAGCTATATTAACTGTATTCTAAAACAATTTCACTTAGAAGATGGAGCTCTAAACCTTGTGTGCCTGCAGATCCTAGTACTATCCTATTGTTAGAATTCAATCCACTACCAGCAAGGAAAACAGTTCCTTACAGAGAAGCTGTTGAATCACTAATATTGCTTGCCATCACTACAAGTCCATACAAGGCTTTTGCTATAAATGTGGTTAGTAGATTTCAAGCTAATCCTGGCCAAGTGCATTGGAGTTTTGTGAAATGCATTTTGAAATACCTAAAGACTGCAGCAAACTATAGCATTGATTATTCTCCAGTAGCTAATGATAGTTGCCATCATGCTGGATACTCGGATGCAGGTTTTGCTAATGCAGTGGACATAAGAAAATCAACTGCTGGTTATGTGTTTAAACTAAGCAATGATCCAGTAACTTGATGTAGTCAAAAGCAATCAAAAACTTGTACCTGTACCACTGAGGCTGAATATATTGGAGCTTCAATTGCTGTAAAAGACATTTTGTTGTTCAGCTAACTTCTGCAAGATGTGAGTGAAAGAAAAATATGTATAGAAGGTATTGTTGTCTTTGTTGATAATTAGAGTGCAACGGCGCTCTAATTATCAAAAACCCTGTCTTTTGCAAAGGCACGAAATATATTGCAATGTGCTACCAATTAATCCATTAGAAGTATGAGCACAAATCTGTCATTATAAAGTATGTGAAATCTGAACAGCAGTTAGCAGATATCTTCGCAAACTGTTTTCCCAAAGCAAAATTTAAAAGGTTAACCCTTTCACGATGGGAAGCACAAACACACGTTTATCGCTGTAGCCAGCAGTCTTTTTCATGAGTCTCTGTCCAGGGCCTAGGGGTTTTTTGTTAGTAAGCCTAAATCCATGAATAAATACATGAACGAGAAAATGCTTTGGCACGCCCGCGTTTCAGCCGGGAAATGAGTGTATTTCTTGCTGGCACGTATACGCGACAGTCAGTGCAAAAGGATTAAGAGAACAACTGCTCAATGTAAAAGATAAGACTTTCATGTGAACCTTTAACAGATTTGCATTAGTTGACATATTTTAAAAATATTTAAGATTTCTTTTTCTTGTTTAAGTCATTGATCATACTTTTATTAATTCAGGTGCCAACAAAATTGGAGGGAGTCAAAATGCATAATTCGGCTGTCGCACTTTTGTTGTCATTTTGACTCTGTTATTGTACTCTTCTGCTTATGTTCTGTGAGTTTGTTCAGTGGTGTATGTCACTTGTGATGTTGCTACATTTATTCCACTTTAAGCTCAAATAAAAAATTTATTTAAACCAGTAATTTAGACAGTGCTGCTCCCTGATTATGCTGTTGGTCATTATAAAGGATGCTTAGTAGATTTTGAATTTAGCCTACATTATAAGATGTACAAGATGTAAGATTCTTCATTTACAAGAGTAATGTTTAGATGTTTCCTAAGAAATTGGGCGAGTTCTGTGAGTTGCATCCTGACACCACTGATATTGAAAAAGCATAGTGTTAGGTAGCTATTACAAATTATTGTGCTATTACTAACTACTTAATGCTGAATCACTATGAGTATAATAATTAAATCTCAAATCCATATTCAAGGTTTGAGAAGGGTATTGAAGACAGTAAGTGCTATCTCTGTTTTTTTCATTGTGGATTTAGTTTCTGAAAAATATTTCTTTACTTTGATAACTAAATTTTCAGCCAATCAGGTACAGGAAGTTACATTTGAATCAGTGAGTGCACATGGTTTCTTAATTTTGGCTGCACAAATATCACATTTTTGTTCCAAGCTCCTCGATTTGAACATTTTGGATCAGTATTTCCTCTTTCTATATCTGCTGAATTATTCAGCCAAAAAAATAATTTTCATGTAATTTGGGCTCTTTAGATATTCATTTTTTCAATTTTTGGATAATGTGAACAACCTGTAGGTTGCCATATGTCTTTCACAAAGCACATTTAGCCAGAGTTTTATCCTTGCCTTTATAACAGTATGTTTTCACTGGTGCAAAACACCTTATATATCTAGAGGGTTATTGAAACAGTTAACCTGATCATGTCCGTATTGCTGGTTCTGGGCTGTACATGAACATGTAAACATTCTAGAAATTGTTGATTGCAGGCTTTCTTCCATTCTGAATTTCTTTCAACATTGGCAGACACTGAAAGGAGGGCAGCAGATCCTTCTTCAGATTTCTTCAGCCATTGAACATATTGAGTTGGGACTCCTTAATCCAGGGAGAAGTCAGAGATGACAATGTGAGGGATTAGCAATATGAAATTTTCAGTTTGTACACTGGAATTATGGAAGCAGTCATTCTGATTGCTAACAAAATTAAACTGCTTGTAATTTTTTGTTAGTAATTGTAAGTAATTTAATATTTTCTACTTTTCTTAACCCTCTGAACGTTATGGCTGGCTTTATCCGCTCATGAAATTTTTTGTCATTTGTTATATATTAGCTTATAATTTATGATATTTGGCTTCCTTACTTTCTTTAATAATATAAATATCACCTTAATTAATGTAAGTTTTTGAAAATAGAGCCTAAAGTAAGTAAATATACAAATTTAGCTAATAAAGTGTCTTTGAATACAGGTCTTCATGACAGATCCAAAAACCCCTGCTGCTCAGAGGGTTAAATAGGTACCAAGCTGATAAAAGAATTCATTTTGCCTGTTTTAAATGATTATTTTTCTCATAGAACTGTATATACCTAGAATTATGGCTATCCCTTTTTTTAATTGTTGTTGTATTATGTTAAGTAGAAGGGTAACTCTGCTTGGTGTACCGTCATCTTGATGCCATTTTGGGGAGTTTCCTTTTTATTTTCATGCAAAATATTGTTTAACAGCTGGTTGGAATAGAAGTGCGACTCCTACTTCCTAAAGTTAGTAATGACACAAATGGGTTTTATGCTTGAATGGATTAGTAATTTCTTTGCCTTCTGTGTTTGTGTGTGTTCTGTGTCACATGGAACTTTTAATTTTGCTTACAGTTTCAAGGGAGTAGTTGTGGTCCAAAAAGCATGGAAGAAGCCGTAGTCCAATAAGAAAATAAAGACCAGTTAGATGTTTTGGAAATAAAGAAAAACCAATCAAAAAATGAAGAAATAGCAGATAGTGTATAGCATGGAAGAAAAATTTATTTCAGAAAATTCATTTGGAAGACTTCCTCTTCAAAATATTTTGCAAGAAGCTTTGTTAAGGGAAACGTAATTGATGGGAGCACAAGCAGCACATATAAACTTTATCAGTAAAAAAGTATTACATCATATACAGCAGTGCACTCAGCTGTGGCATGTCAAATGTTGGGAAATCTGAATTGAAACTTATGACTTGATGAGCTAGGTGCTTTTATTGTTCTTTGATATCCTTATGGTGCTTTGGTTGCCAAAGTACTTTCTATTTTATCTTCCAAATCATGGAACCCAAAATTCTACAATGTCTGGGGACAGATTCCTGGAAATAATGAAATATTTGCACTTTGACATGAAGTCAACAAGATCGCAAATATCACAGACTGATCCATTCATTCTTGCTTCAGAGATAGGGAGGATTGTTTATTATAAGTAGATGTAAATATTACAGTTGATAAAAAAATTTTCATGTAAAGGCAAGATGCTACATTATTCAGTATATGCCATAAAATTTGGCATAAAATTGTGGCATTTTAGCTGATGTAAAGACAAAATACTCTGCAAATTGATATTCCTTATTTGTAAAAGATGAAAACTAATTAGTTGAAGAAACTGTTGTTGTGCATGTCATTTATCAGTTAATTGAGCCCTTTTATAAGACCAGAAAGAATGTTGCTATTGACAATTTCTTTACTACTTTGAATTTAGTAAAAGAAAAAAGGGGCTGGGGGGAATGCTTCCTCTATCATTCAGAAATATAAATAATGTATTCTAATAAAGTTTTCAAATATGGTAATGTATCTCTTGGATAAAATACACTCTTTTGCAAAAAAATTGAAGCACCATGAAGGAAGTGGTTGTTTTTGATGAAATTGAATATGTGTATAGCTTATACACAGGTTATAAAATCGAGGTCATAGTTCCTGTTCACGGCTCACAATCACCCATTGAGTGTTCAAATTAGTAGTTGGTTGAACTGCCCCTGGAGGCAATGCATGCTTGAATTTGTAAAGGCAAGGAGTGGTAGAAGTTCATAATGCCATCCCGGGACACATTCTTCTAGGCATTCATCATTTGCCGCTCCAGACCTACGATATTTTGTGGCTCCTGAATCTGGCAGCCTACCATCTCCCAGACATGCTCGATTGATGAAAGGTCTAGTGATCTTGTTGGCCAAGGAAGAGTATCAACCACATGGAGACAGTCCAGAGATATGCGAGCGATATGTGGCCTGTCTTGTTGAAAAATGGCCCCAGGATGGTGTGCCATGAAGGGTAATGCAGCCAGCCGCAGGATGGTATCAACATATCTTTGAGCTGTTAAAGATGTATGGAGGATGACTAAAGATGGCCTGCTGTCATAATAAATAGCACCAAACCATCACACCACGGATTATGGCTGTATGTCTTTGTAAAACAATGGCTGATTGGGAGCACTGGTCCCTTCCTCTCCAGACACGAACACAGCGGTCATCTGCGTTAAGAGTGAAGCAGGATTTATCGCTGAACACTGTACGATGCCAGTGTGATGGCAGCCATGATAATCGCTTGCGATACCACTCCAGACGACACCGTCGATGTTGTGGGGTCAAAGGCAAACATCTCAAATTGCCTCTGCGAGCATAACCCCGCCTCAGGACAAGCACTGTAAGATGGTGGATGGTACTACGCGAGGAATAGACATAGCTGAAGTGTGTTGAATAGTCGACAATGATACCGTTGGGGCATTTCGGGTCCTGGTGAACAATCATCCTATCATGCTTCGAATTTGTGCTCCTTGAACTTCCAGAGCCTTCATTTTGTCAGCAAATTCCTTGTAGCAACTATTGCTGCCAATATCTTTGCACAGCAGTTTCTGTACACTGCAGGTGGTGGCCTATTGCTCGGTATGACTATCCAGCATCACGTAACCCTAGAATGCGACCGCTTTCGAAGTCGTTTAGTTATCTGTATTGTCTTCGATATCGCCATAATGGCATCTTTAGTTGCTTCTTTACAGAATTACAGTAGCAGCAACAAAAAAAGACAAATTTTCCTCCTTTGTTACCGGTTTTATACTTTGCGAATTGGGCACTAGAAATGCGCGCTATGATCGCAATTCGTGTTCATTTGCCTTGAAATTTTGATCATTTGCCCTTGTTAGATAAATGCATGAATCATCTCTAAAAAGTAAAACTAAATGAAAAGTAAAACTAAATGTTTATGGAAAATGCAAAATTAATAATGTGTAAACTGCAAAGAGGAATAACTAATTTATTTAGTTTTTACTATTTTGTATACTTGTATTTTATTTTTAAAATAACAAAAAATATTTTATTCTATGAGTAATGGATTGCAAAAAAAAAAAAAAAAATTGTTGCGTATTAGATTAATATTAATAATCTTTATTGTAAAACAGACGTAGTAGCCATATAATTCTGTAAAATAAAAAAAAATAATATGTGTGAAGGTTTTTTTAACACCATAATAAAAATGAATTTAATAATCTAATTTATAACGCATCTTATTAAAAAATTTTTAAAATGCTAGATTTTTCCCCTATTAATTAAACTGCAGTCAAAATGACCATGGACTGTAGTCAGAGGTAAATCAAAAATGCAATAGTGTTAGTGTTTAATTCCTGCTCTTATCAATATCAGTGTTGAGATCCATTGAGTCATATCTGTTAGATTGGAGCTTTCCCATTGAGGAATTAGAGGTAGTTTGTCTACATTTTGCCATGATGTATGACCTTATCCATAGTTCCATTCTTTTTATCTTTTTCTTCGAAGAATCACGGACGTCCTAGGGTGAAGTTTTAAACTCTGTGCTAAAACGGCAAGATATTGGTTGTTAGAGGCAAGTGAAGCCTGTTCCTTATTCAATTGGGGAAGCTTTAATATATTGCTCTTTGTCTGGCTGGCATTATCTCTTCTTTTGCTGAGTTCGTTGAATTTGTAGACTTTGGAATTATATTAATCGAGGCACATTTCTCAGCTGTACATTTCTCAGCTATACATAGGCACATACCAGCATTATCCATGTTGGCTGGGAGAATGAAAAAGAATCAAGGCTCCAAAGTCTGAAGTCATCTTTTGAGAAAATTTGGATATTAATATATTAAATGTCATCTACTAATTAGGAATTGCTGCTTTCCAGTTGTAGTTTATTCCATGCCGGAGAACCTGAGAAGTTAAAGAAAAAGACTACCTTTTTTTTTTCGTCTGAGTTCAGTGTATCGCTGTATCGGAAAAGAAGTGGAACTCAGATGATAAGTTGGCTCTATAGTCATAGGAGTAAGAAAAATGTTTCATTGTTTTGAAAAAAAATTAATGGCATGTGCATTTCTGTGAAAGCCACATTGTGATGTTGTGTAAACTTTAATTACTGAATTTTGACATTTTTTGTTACTTTTGGATGACTTTATACATGCAATTTAATATATATGTATATATATGTGTGTGTGTGTATGAATACTAATTGTGTTTTTGTTTTCCAGATTTCTATTTAAAATGTATCACATCATATCATCTGCTTCAGTTCTTAGCTGCTAAACCACAAGTTTTGTATTTGCATATTCAGCATTTAATAACACTACTTCCTCAAATGGATCCTTCATTATTACGCAGAGTAGCATTTTTGTATGACCCTTCTCGTCCAACGGCTAAGTTGTCCTTCAGAAACATGGCATCTACTAAAACAGATGGAAGGTAATTACATTTTCAGTATCTTTTTTTGTATTATTTGTTAGTGATATTTAATCCAGTATCGCCATATACACTGGTCAAAAGTCATCTAGTTTTAACAATCCAAATTTTTTCTAACCAGTCTTACACTGTTATAAGCAACAACACTTTCACTTCTTTAATGGATTTTTTTAATGAATGAAAATCGTCTTCAAATAAACTTTAAAGCTGTACTTATTTTTAATTGTGTGAATAGACATTTGCAGTATTATTGCTTGCAAGTACAGGGTGAGGCGCATAAACTTCCTTTTCTTCTCGATGCATTTTGAAGGTAGGAGAGGTCATAGAAAAGTTGAGATAGGCTCCATAAACACAGTAGTCACAAATGTATGTGTCTAGTTCCCTTCAGTAAGAAGCATTACATGGATGGAGGAGTAGCACACATTTGTACTTGAAGCCTTTTTTTTAAACAACAATATCTGCAAGGCTGTGCAGCAATCATTCCTTAACTCACTTCAGAATTATTCCAAGAAATCTGGTTTCTAATCAGGAATCATTTGTTTTTTAGGTAGAGAGTTTCAGAACAATCAAGAGTATTGTGAAAAAATTTCTCAGGATGACGGTGAACCATGATAATGCATGAAAATGGGGTACCAGTTCAACAGTCAATTTTGAGATCTAAAATACACTGCTTGAAAACATGCAGTCATCCTAGGACTATTAAATCATTCATTGCATCAAATTATTTATTAACATCTTCATTTCCATGCCTACAAAATGTTTGTTGTACAAGAATTATGACAGAGTAATTGACAAGAATTTTCACCATGTAAGCATATTTTTTCATATTTGAATGCATCTACAAGCAGAATATACACTATTACAATGGTATCAACCCTAGAGAGCTCTATAAGAGCCCACTACAATATGATAAGGAGGCAATATACTGTGTGTTGTCAACAGTTGAAGTTTTTCTCATTTGAAATGTACACTTATATGATTTATAACTCTTTGTTATCTCCTAAGTTTACTAGCTATTTCTTGCTAATTGGAAACATAAAAAAATGGCTAGGATTGATCTTTTGAGTAAGTTCCAATAATTCTTCCCTTGTTTGGTTCAGTAATATGAAATTGCAAGAAACTCAAATCAGTTGATGGTCTGATATGCTAAGTTTGTAACTTTGTAATTTTAGTCTTTGCTGTGTGAAAAAATTCGTAATTTGCAGTAGAGAGGTGTCTGCTTCTTAAATTGGTATCTGCCCCCCCCAACCTGTGAAAACTGGTTGTTTCTAGTCACAGGAAGAGTTCTAGGTTTCTTCCTTTATCTGGCCTGGTGTTTCAGGGCATGTTGAGGAACCTGTAACTTATAATCAAATTAAATGTGTTTTCTATTTTTATATCTTTTAGCTATTTTAAATCTTTTAACTGTCTGTTCATACTGTTTTCATGAGAGTACATATGACTGATTGCATATTGAATATATGAGACAGTAAATTACTCAAAGCTGATGATAAAGTTTTTGCCATCCAGTGCAATCTCTAGTGCTTTTAAATTCTGCTGCCATATTTGCATCACCTGTGGCAGTGCATCCTCTTCTGCTGACCTAGGGAATGGTAATTATGAAATAGAAAAGTGCCATGTTTTTCTTTCTTTAAAGAGTATATTTAGAATAATTTTAGATTTTTCAATATTGCTTCAGAATTTCCTGTCAGTGGTTAAATTTAATAAACAATTATGTCAAAACTTCAATTTAATTTTTTTGAAGAGTCATTTGAAATACCCCAAATTTCTGAAGCAGAAAAATTTTAATCGTATTCTTCAAAGCTTTTCAAACCTTTAAGTGAATTCCTGAACATTAACATTTGATGAAAAATTTACATTCTGTTTTTCTTTTAAAACTTATTTGTACCAAAAACGTTTTTATAGAATGTTCTGGTTATATTATAATATGTAAATATAATTGTATTTGTGAAATCTATATGCTAATGTGTCATGTTATAAAATGCAGATATTGGAGTTTGACATCGCTAACAACAGTAGCTAGTGAAGTACTTGATATAAACTGTGGGGTAAGTAATGTGATAATTTCTTTTCTCAAAATGTCATATTTGCTCTGTAAATGGAATCAGCTCAAATGTGTGTTTTGTGAGCTTGGATAATCCATTTATAAGTTGAGTATAGTTTGGAATATGCATTTCCAAAAAAACAAGTAGAGCCTTTGAGAAATAAGCAATATAATCAAATTATAATGTTGAACGATATTATTACTGCTGAGTTCTGCTGTTTGTCTAAAGAAGGTTTAAACAGGACATGAATGCCCAGTGTTAGAGGCGAACTGTTTGCAACTATCATCACATGCAATTTTTATATGTTATTGTTATCCATTCTTGTCATGTAGATTTGCTCATAATAAATATTCATGAAGAGTTGGTGCTCCCACCCAAATGAAATTACAACTGAAAGGAATTGTGGAAATTATCTTCCTATGTATTCCTCATTTTTATGTGTGTAGCGAAGTAAAAATTTTATAAATACAGCTTGTTTTAATTCCTCAAATATGAGAAATTTCTTCTTTAAAAGTTGCTATTAAGACTGATACATCTAAAACTGATGAGTATTTCTGGAAGAAAGATAAATATCAATCTTTTCGCCAGGAAATTAAAAATGACCACAAAAAATTAGATGCTGAATCAGTGTAAATTAAAAATTTGAGTATTTATCTGTCAGGTAGCATTCCTTGCCCACCATAAATGTTGGAATGATATGTGTCTGAAATAGTGCGATGGTAGCTCTAAACATTTATTCAAGGCATATTGTTTTAGACAAATATTAGAGTTTGATGAACAATTAATTTCTTACATTCGTAGTAATCTAGCTAAGCAGCTTTGGATTCACAATCCTTTCTTCTGTTGGCATGATCTTTATCAATAGTACTATTCCTGCGTCATGTATGCTCTTAAAACAGTACTTCATCTTGAGGTTATTTCAACAGAATCTTTCACTATACCAGTTCTTATTTTGGGGGGAGGGAGAATTTAATGGAAGACATTTTATCATTTGGAAATTGCCAAATCATAAAATCCCCCCCCCCAAAAACTATAGGTTGAAATCTCATATGAAACTCTCATGGATTGAGAGATGATTTTCAGTATTTGGCACTTTTGTGGTGCAAGACAAATATCTGTGCCGCATATGCACCCATTTTGATTGCTGTCCCTTTAACCCATTCATGACTGCACACCTTTGTTTAAGATGCTTGTGTGGGACGGAAGGGAATCGAAGGCAGTTGCCATACAGGATTGGGGGGGTTGCATCACTAAGCCTAATTTTATAAAAAAAATCAGAAAAAAAAGTTTCACTTCTAGCATCATAATTTTTCGTATCATTTCAGATTATTACTTGAGCTCTTAGATATGTTAAAAGCAGCATTTAATAGCCTTTCTTGCATTATTTTACATGAAAATATATTAAAAAAAATTGCTTATCTTGTAAAATAATTTTTGGAAGCGCTATTCAAAATATTCCAAAGTTGTTATTGATAAAATTCATCAATAAAGTTTAAAATTAATAAAACAACACAATACAGACTATTTACATTTAAGAAAAAGACTATTTACAGTAAGAAGTAACAAAATTTAAAATGAAGACTGAGTGTGGTAAACCCCTAAGCACTGGAAGAGTACCACTTTCTAACTCTTTGGAAAATGAATTATCACTCTCATCTGCGTTAGTATGGTTCATTAACGATACAAGTGTATTCTCCTTCTGATAACTAGCGCCTTTGCACCATAATAGACTGGAGATGAAGCTTTCCGAAATAAAAAGAGGACCCGAAATATATCTGAAGGCAATGCAAAATGTAACAGAGCTTCACATAGTAATCCCGAAAGACCGTACATAGTAGAAAAAAATAGAATAAAAAAAGGAATTGTATATAAATCAGACTTGCAAATGTTTATAATAGCACGAGGCGATTTAAAGAGCCTCTGGGTACGCTTTTCCCCCACCCTGACAACAGTTGATGAGTAAAATACCAGAGAATATATCAAACTGAAGGTCAGAAACCTAAAACTGTGTTCATTTCAAAAGTAATGGACATAGGGTGCCATCTAGTGGCCTTCAGAAAAACGTTTCAACTTAAAATGCATATACGCATCACTCGTCCTCTGAATTTAATCTCTAATGATGCGTGGATGGGATGCCCGGCTGTAAGAGACATTCTTAGGGAATGGGTATATAGAACCCCCCATCCAGAAAGGGTTAAAAATTGTAAGAAGTAAGAGCATTCAGCAATGCTGCACTATCTTGCAATTTTCCAAAATTTCAAAATGCTGTAACCTGAGCTCTCACATGAATAATTCGTGCAACAAAAACAGAAAGTGGCTAAGTGAATCATGCTTAGTTTGAGGACAGTTAAAAAACACACAAAAAAAGCCCTGTTATAATTAGAGAAATACGATTGACTGTTTATTTGTATTTTCAAGCAGTATAATGTGAAGAATAACATTTTATTATATAAATTAATGATTTTTAAGCATAAAGAACTCAGAGTAATAGCAGAATAATTATCATTAGAAATGAAGTTATGAGTGTCATTAAAGAACAGTAATTAGATGAGAATTTAAACAACGTCATTAAGTTCAAACTCGTGTAAAAGTATCGAGTAGAATTTCTTTTTTTTAATATTGTATTTAATAAATTTGGATACCAGAACTTAATTTTCTTTCTATAGTTATTAATATTTTTCTGTAAATTAATGCAATGTAAATATTCTTAATGTCAGTACTTGCTACTTAATAGAAGTCTAAATAAAATAATAAAACCTTGAACAGAAATGAGGTAAATTAATGTCTGAAAATGACATTGTTTGAATTATAGAATTTGACTTGTAGAATTATGAAAGCCATCTTGTAAAAGTATATTTATAATGCACTCACATTCATATAATACGGATATTATATTTTTGTGACTATCAGTACGTATATGAATAAGGTACTGCAATATTTTGCATAGTCCAAGTAATCAGTACCACCGGTATCCTGGACTGTTTGAAACTGTGCTAATCAAGAAAGTAAATACATTTAAACAGTGATAGATGTTTAGAAAAAGAATTCTTCATTTTTCAAAAATAAATTGTGAATTTAAATGCATCTAACAGAAAAAAGTTTTTAAAATTACATGCTTTTCAGAAAAATTCTCAGAAAAACTGCAATATGGTCTACATCTCCTTCCATTCTTCACAAGCCTATTGTGAATCAGCATTAATAAGTGCCTGAAGGCCCAACCTCAGATAAAACTGAAATATGCATCAGTGCATAATTTTAAAAAATACATAAAAATAAACAGCACAGAAAGAGACTTCATTACATACAAAAACAGACAAAATTGTCATTTATGTATTAAATATAATTCTGTATATAGTACAGAGTTCAGGATCCGGACGGACTTGTAAGGACATCGGCGATTCCAGATTCGGAATTTTTCCAGATATTAGATCATCAGTTTAAATCCAGCAAACTGACATGTAAAAATTCTAAAACTGAAAATATGAAATTGTGACTTATGAAGCATTTATGACCTTAAGAAAATAAAAATTTACAAAAAAAAAAAAAAAAAAATCTAGTTAGAAATAAATATTACGCCCAAACAGGCAGTTTTTTAACATTTTATGTGCTGCCTTTATTTATTAAATATGTTCTTCACATTTAAACCATAAAATTAAATACAACAGCAATATTTCATTAAATGAGCATATCTTTAAAATTTCCAATGCAGTGCAGGTAATTTTTTTTTTTTTTTTTTTTTTACAGTATTGCCATTGCTCGCTTTGAAATCATTGAGTTTGTTAATCAAGAATTCATTAAAGTGTTACAAAATGTGAAATCAATAATAAAACAAATTTCAAATTTGGGCTTCGAGATGCCCATATTGAGTGGAAAATTTCATTATTCAAAATTTAATGGCTCTATGTAGTTGTTTTATCCAAATGCGAGAAACATATATACATTAATGCAGATTCTTCATTATTTAATTTCTTTAAATATTACACAGGGCTCTAATATTTGGTAGCAATGATTTGAAAAATGAACCGACATTTATAGTGAACCAATGCAAAATGCCAAAATGAAATTAATAACCCATCTAGGCTAATGAATGCTGTTTGGGCTAAAAAGAGAGAGAGCTACATTTTTTTTAATTAAAGATTTCTTTCTGTATAAGTTCTTCTTTTGCTCTTTTTTTTTTTTTTTTTTTTTTTTTTTTTTTTTTTTTTTTTTTTTTGTTCTGTGTGTGTGCCAAGACTTTCTCTTTAATTATGTAGGTAGACACTTTTTTGCCAGTTACAAAGTTCCACTGTTCAAGTCCTGTAATTACTACATAAAGCAGGGTTTCTTAATCTTTTTTCAGTCACAGCCCTTTTTTTATCACTCAAATTTAATATTTACACAAATTTTGTGGGACCCCCATAAGTATTGCACAAATCCGACAAACACGTGAGTGAAACTGTCAATTTTTTCACTTGTACTGTAATATACTAATGCAGTTTTAGGCCATTAACTTTAATTTTTAATTTTAAGACATAGAACAAAGTGAAAAATTTAAAAAAAATGTAACAAGCAAAATGACAGCGTCATGTGAAAAGCAAGGAAAATGAACATTTATATATATAAAAAAGAATTTTTCAAATTCTTTTTATATATATTTATATATATTGAGACATTTTTTTCTTTGTCTGTATTGCCTTATCTTTATCTATTTTCAGATACATCGTGTAAAAATATTTGGTAATTGTAAAATTATGAAAAAGTTAAAGAATATGTTAATAATAATATGTTATAAATAAAGAATATGTTATATGTAAAGTTAAAGAAATATGATAACTGCTAAAATTTTTGACGGCCCCCTGCTGGAAGTCTCAATACCCCAATCGGAGTTGCGACCCAGTTTAGAAACTCTGGCATAAAGAATTCCCTCTAAATCGTGAATCACTTTTTTTTTTCATTCTCTGTGTTTGAATTACATTGCCACCAAACTGTCATACAGATATCTGGGTAGACAGTGCTCTGGACATGTTTGAGCTACTGTATTTTGGCTATAATGCAATGGTCAGCAAAATACGGCCCACATACCAAATCCAACCTTCAGGATAATATTGTTTTTAGGTTGAAAAAAAAATTAAATGAATTAAACTATACACTGTAACAGAACTGCCGAGAGTTGAGTTCAGAAGTATTGAATAATAATTGCATGTGGCCCTATTGGTGATGCATATTTGCGTTTTGTTGTTTGCCAATTTTCTTGATTTTGCTTTATTGTGTGTATCATCTGTCAGTGTTTACCATCTGTTGCTGCTCTGTGATATTATATTCTATTCATTTTATTTTATGTATTACCCATGGTTGCCATCGCACTCCAGATGAGAAAACTGGACTTGGGGGCTTCTAAAGTAGAATGGAGTAGAAATTTTGTCATTGAATTAAATGACAAAATAATATGTTTACTATATAATGACGTAACTGTGCAGAAAGAGTGCAGCATACATTGTCAGATAAATCTGCCTAGATGAAAAAGATTTGTTTAGATCTGTCACTTTTCGATGAGAAAAACGTAGAAAAGTTGAAAGCTACATCAAGAATCAATTTAAAAAGGCAGAGGTTTTAGTTGGATGTTGATGAGTCAACAGGCATTTACTGATAGGGAACAATTGCTGTTGTTTATTTGATATACTGCAGAATTAGCTTCTATGAAGAGTCTGCGTGGAGCAACTACAGGCAGATATCCTCAAAGAAGTCAAGAAAATGCTAACCCAGTACGATTTTGCAATGGAATCAGTTAAAAAGGTTTCAAACTGATGATGGTGTAATGGAGAAATATTAGTTTGACAAAATTTTTAAGAGTTTTAGCAAAAGCTAAATTTTCAGAATCTCTGGTAATTTGTTGTATTATTGATTAGCAGTCTCTTTGCAGGAAACATCGCCATCTGCCATGCGTTATTGAATAAGCTGTATCAGGTTAATTTGATTTGCTACCATGGACTTAACTATTGTCAGTTTCATGATTTTTTTTATTAGAGATCGAAACTGAATATCCTGACTTATTATATCATGCAACAGTTTGATGGGTCAGGCAAGAGAAAAATTTTTAACCTCTTTTAATTCTTTTAACTGAGGAAAATAGAAAATTTTCTAAATGAAAGGAACTCCCCACGACCACTCAAACAGTTAATGGCTATGGAAATTCTCATTTACTTCAGACACCATGGGATATCTGAAAGAGTTTTAACTTATAGCGAAAAACAATACACATATGTGAAACATACTCTGTTGTAGAGTCATATTGGCAAAAATTTTCATTGTTTGAAACACGAATCCCATTAAACAAATTTGATCATTTTCCAAGTTGTAAAAAATTCAGATATTAGAAAAATTTGCATCCCCCCCTTGAAAAAACTGTCGTTGATACATTTTCTGAATAACAAAATTTTTCAGATCTTCATGCAAGTGTAAAAGATATTTTAATTCAATCCGTTTGTCTGTACAACTGGAAAGCTTCTATCAGATCTTCAACTGAAAGAACTGATCTGCAAAGTGATCATATGCTGAAAAGGATGTGTAAAGAAATGGATCTTACACAGTTCTATATGTATCTTTCAGAAAATAAACATCATCAACTAAAATCATTTGCACAAGGATTTATATCTGTATGTAGAAGTACTTAACCAATGTGAAAAGACATTTTAGAAAATGAAGTATGTAAAGTCACAATGCAGATCATTATTGATGACCATATGCAATGAGCTTTTATTACAGGAATTAACTAATTTCAAACTTCAGTGTTCATCATATTAATACAAAATTTAACTTGTTCTATAATACATGTATTAATAGACAGAAATATTTTATTTGTTTTTTTCTTTTTCTTGTGTGTGTCAGCAAAGGTTTATAAATATTATTTAAAAAATATATCACTTTCTAAAACAAAATTTTTTAACTTCTTATTTTGGCTTGCTAATGGGTAAAGTTTTTATGATTTAGCCCTTTTCAGGGGGGGAAAAGTGCTGACTTTTAGTGTAGACTGCCACTTTTATTGCATTTCAAAATATATGAATCTTGACAAAATATTTTTTTCTTCTCTCTACCACTCTGAACCATAGATAAATAAAACTGTGGGTGAGTCATTGGTTGCAAAAGTACAACTGTATAAATATATTTCACTTTTTCATTTTGAAATTATTTGTTTCAGGCAAACCATTTGCATTGCCATTAAGCGGTAGAAATATTTAGATTGTCCTTATCGTATTAGCTAGAACTATTTTCTGAATCATAATGTAATGACCTGTATGTTGTTTTGAATTATTAAATTCCCTGTATAATAACATTACACTAGAACCCTGTTTGTGTAAAGTAATAGGGAAAGAGCCTTTTTAGGTAACATTTTTCAGTTAATCCATCATCAGTTTTATAAAAAATGGAGAATCCACTAGTCAGATGGGTTCATGATTTTCACCTCAGGCTCTCTGGAGGTGGCAACAAAAGTTGCATCACTTCAGTTTATTTCCTTTTGCAAATGGTCAAGATGAGTGCATCAAAAAGTGTATCATTTCAATCTTTCATTCACATGATAGAATTTTTTTAAGCAAATACATTTTTTAGAAAAGGACATAGCTTAAAATTCAGTTTGCTTAGCAGATTAATTTTTGTAGCTCCACATTAAATCTTTTCTCCTTGGGACTCAAACATTTATTAGGCAGAATAACCTCTCACTGCTTGCTTTAGAAGCAAATATTCAGAAATAAAGATCACATATTATAAATAATCTGGAACAAATTGTGCATAACACAAAGAAAACATAAAAAGGAGGGCTTCTAAATCAAAGCCTTTATTTCAGCTAGAAAAAGGGGACATATCCTTTGTTGAATATCATACAGTAACTCAGTTTGAGAAATTATTATTAAAAAAATTTGTTTATATTTATGTTACTCAGCATTTACACCCATGATAAAAACTGAGTGGCATAACAGCCCCAATGGGCCAAGGCCTGCAAGGCCCGAAATCTGCTTTCTTGACCGTGGGCCCCGGGGAGCATAACCATATGCTGTGCCCTGAACAAGTGGTCAGCTTGTTTGCAGGACTCCCAGTGTTTTCGTTTTCAAGCGAACTTGGTACTGCTTTTATCGACCCAAGTGATGGAAATTAAGGAATGAAAGGCTGAGTGTTGACCTTTCCCAGCCCGGGAATCGAACCCTGGACCTGTGCCGCTGTGCAATGTGCTAACCACTGCGCCACAGGGCTTCACTCCCATGATAAAATGCATATTTAAAAATTTAGTTAATACAATATTGAATATATTTTGTTAAAAACTGAGATAGCAGTTTTACTTATGATTTTCGTATATCGCTGGAACATTGTATTTTCAAATTAGATGTTATGCTAGCCTATCCTAAGTTCTAATTTGTTGCTTTCATTTAGTGAATAGAGTTCTGAAAATATTTCAGCCGCGATTATTATTCAGAAATTGATTTAACCATATCTCCAGATACAAACTACACTGAACTATAACCAATTAAAAAAAGATTTTCATCTGTACTGTATTAGATGTAAGTGAATGTTATGTCTAACCATTGTCTAACCATGAAGTGTAAGTGGTAGAGCATCATTTTAACATCTTTTCATACATATGTCACAATCCTGTGACGTTTGATCATATTTTTGGATTTAGCATTGATCCACAATGGAAATGCTGTATTAATTCCTGCCACATACCTTATCCAGAGAGGCTGAAATGAATTGAAATTCGAAAAAAAAAAAAAAAAACCTTGGTCATAACTGAATAGTTAAAAGTGTTAAATACCGGTAGTTTGACTCAGGTTTGAATTTCAGAAAACAGACTTGCTGCTTGGGTATGTTCATTGTTTTCCTCATGTGTAATGTAAATTTCAGCTGGTTTTCTTTAGAAAATCCTCCGTAAAGACATCATTTCCTGTAGGTAGATAGCCTTCACACCCATTGTCCTATTTAATTAAAGCAAACATGAAAAATGGGAATGGCTATTTTCATCATTTTAGACAGGCATATTGCTTTTAAATGCGATTCGAATAAAGTAAATTTCAAATGAGCTTGAATGGCAAAATGAAAATGACTTTTATGTGTAATTGCTAAGTCAGAGTTTACTTTTATTACAATTACCACATTGAAATTCTTATACTATGAATAAATTTGGAGAAATGCATAAAGAAAATTAACTGTACTGAAGTTTAAATGCTGGCAAATTTTAAAGTAAATAAGTAAACAAATGAACAAGTAAAATAAAAGTAAGCAAATCTGTTAAGATTAAGTAATTAAAATACTTATGATGCCCATAAATAATCATAAATTTTCAGTTTCAGAATCTTATTTTGGAATACTACTGACATTGTTTACAGGCCCCTGACAAAGTCCTCATCAAGTAGCCAAAATTCCTTTTGCATCTTCTGCACTATTTTTAACAAATTATTGAAATATTGCACTGTTCTCTTTTGGTAGCCTCTTCACTCCCAAAGAATTATTTTATTACATCTCAAATTGTGATTTTTATAATCCATCCATGAAAGTAGAACAAGAAATAGCAGTGCTGTGTTTCTGGACGCAATATGATGTAGTCATCTATTTAAATTTATAATAGCTTGTTATTTTTTAACTAATGAGAAACTTTTTAAAAAAAGTTGGTAAATGATAACTGCCCAGGTTTTGGACATATAGATTCATTATTAATTTTGCTCACTGTGTTGGTTAAGTAGGGTTTTATTGTATGATAAAAGCAGTAAGACATTCATTTCAAGGGAATGTAAATGTTTATTGCTTCGATTTTAATAATTGATACATAATAATTTTTTGCAGGTAGAAAATACTACAGGAGAAGATGTTATAAAATTTTTTGTATTTGTATTACTGATGCTGTGTCATAAACTTGATTGCCCAAAATTTGATAAGAAGTTGATTAAATATGGAGGAATAAACAATCCTAGAAAAAAGTCTGCTTCTAGACAAAAAAAAGTCAAATCGAGTTCAGAGATTGTGAGTTTAAATCATTCTTCAGTTTCTTGTGGACAGGCTCATGCTGCTTACATTCATAATGGAATATTGTACACTTGGGGAAAAACTGGAAGTGGAAGGTAATTTATTTCCTTTATCTGGATACTTCTCCATTTCTTGTAATAAACTGCTTTATCTTTTTAATTTATTTTTGTAACCAGAGAGAAATCTGATTTTATTATAATAGTTCTTTCTCATTCAAGAGCAAACATGGCTTTTTTAGTAGTGAAACCAAAATTGTTATTTGTCAGAAATTGTAACTCCTTATTTTCTGTAAGAACATCAAGTGATGCTTTCAGAAACAATGGAAAGAATCAAATTGAAGAAAATTAAAATGGATTTAATGCATTTTTTATACTCTAATGAAATGGAATTTATATTGTAATGGATTTTTTATGCTGTATATATCTTATATGAAAGCAGTCAGAAGGCTGTGATAGTGTACAATGTTACAGTAGTGAAATAACTGAATAATGTTTACCTATACTAGTTAGTTGATTTGAGATGTAGATGTGCAAGTGCATTATTAAATAACAAATAAATCAGAATAAAATGCAAATTACATGTAGCACCTCCTGATAATACATCAGTCGGGATGTTGTAATTATAACAAGGTGACAAGATATATCAAATTGACTTGGAATTAAAAAATTTGAAAAGTGGTTACTATGAAAGAATTTTAGAAAAACTCAGTGTCAGTCTGTCTTTTCCATATTTAGTTTATAGTTTAGTAATTATTTTGTCAAAAACTTTTTAGTTTATGTTTAAGCATGCATTGTTATGGTAGAGGACTGGAAAAGCTGTCTTATAATTTGTTGTCTCAAGGTTAAGTTTCTTTATTAAAATATAGCAAAGCATATAATGGCTCTGTACATGAGGGCAATGATGCCTTTCTGGAAGACTCCGAAAGAACTGGTGGTTTGGATATTGGAATTGTCAGACTGCTGGTTTGGAAGTGGCATATAAATCGACATTCTCTAAGAATTATCTATTTCTAATAAAAACACATTATAGTAATATATAAAAAGAAAACTTTATTAAATAAGCTTAATTACAACAAGCTTTACTGCATTCTACAAAACCATAACAAATTCTCTAGATGCCAGATACATTTTTAACTCATTCTTTTACAACTTAAGAAAATATCAATGTTGCCAAAATATTAAAACTTAAAATTATACTTTATAAACAAATATTATCAATTCCTCCTTTATTTGTGTTTAAAGATATAATTTTAATCAGCCAGTCATGTCCTGTCCATACTTTAATAGTTCATCTTTCAATTTCACCCTAGGTAGATATTTTGTTAAAATATCCACTCCTTGATTTTGTGAACACACAAGCTGAGGAATCATTTGATTCTTTTCATATTCATTCTTTTACAAAGAAATATTTTCTATTAATGTGCCTTGAACAACTACTTTGTTTTGGTATTTTAATCTAATCTATTAACTCTTGACAGTCTGTTCTAATTTGCAGAACTTTTTCTACTCTCAAGATGTTCTTATTTCTATTAATTTGCATTTTAATGTTACCAATACCAACTGATTTGATCATGGCACCTTTTTCAGCTGTCATTATTTGTCATTCTTCATCTTTAAAATAGTAAAGATTTCTTTACTAGTTGGCATGTGAGATGTGGCTTGTGAATCAATAATCTATTTAATTTTTCTATTCTGTTGTTCATCTGTTTCATTCTTCCCACCATTTCTATCTTGATTAAGGCATGAAGTCTCTATTTTTCTAGATACTTCAGATAAGCATGTAGCTGATTCATATTCTCTTGCCTTGCTTGACTTTCTATAAGTTTAAGCTTTATTTGTTAAATTTCTCTGCTTTTGATGTTCTTGTTTGGTTTTCCTTTTACATTCAGTTGATTTGTGGCCGAATTTTTCACAACTATAGCACTTTATATTATAATTATTATTCCAACATTCTTTTATTAAATGTCCTAATTTTCCACAATAAGCATCTTCTTACATATTTTGATGTTATCTAGTTTTCTTTTGCCTTAGAACTTACTTCTGTTTCTTTTCCTCTTTGTTTATTTTTCCTTCTGTTTCTTTTAAAGCTTGTCTGATGGAAACTATATCCTTCTCTTTATTGCTTTTAATGATTTTAACATCAAATTCAAATTCCTTTATAAGTCCTTCTAGTATGAAGTAAATGAATTCTTTATCTCTTATTTCATCCCCAACTTGAATACTTTTACTTTCAGAATTAAGGCTCTATTCATATAATCATCTACAGATTCATTTTGACTCATTCAGTTGAACTAATTCTATTCGACATTTGATTTGAATATCTTCTGTTCTTGCCGCCATTTCTTTTTTTATTTTCTCCCATAACTTCTTTGCATCTTCTTTTCATTTGTATATTTTCACGCTTGTGGAGCTGTCATAGTTAGATTCATCATATTTCTTGTTATCACATTATTATGAGGGCAATCCCCCAAAAAAGGTCTCCTATATTTTTAGATATACAAAGAACCGTTTATTTTCTATAATTGCTACATCACTTTAAAGATTGAAGAATGCTTTATTTTTCAACATAATCGCCACTTCGGTCGATGCATTTTCGTAGACGCTGTGGCAGTTTTACCGTGCCCATGTCATACCAGCTTGCCACCATGTCCATTAGGAAGTGTCAATCGAGACCAAGAAGTTGTCCTTTTCGTCTCCATAGCATCGAAGAAATTCGCGGGAAGAATCATCCCGTTGCCGTTTGTGGTCTTCTGTCAGCATACGCAGCACCCATCTTGCACACACCTTCCAACATTGCAACTTTTCCGTTAAAATCCTGTGGATGGTGCCTCTGCAAATCTCAGGAACCAAAATGCAGAGAGCATCCAGAGCGATCCTCCGGACTTTATGCATGAGTTCCTCAACTTTTGCGATTGTCTCGTCGGCAATTGACGGCCTCCCACTCCTTTCTTCGTCATGAATTTCAGTACGACCGGCTGTAAACTCTCTACACCACTTGCGAACATTTTTGACATCCATGCACGACTGTCCATACACTTCCGTCAATATGCGGTGAATTTCAACTGGTTTAACACCTTTTGTGTTCAAAAATCGAATAACTGCACGCACTTCGCACTTGGCGGCAACGTTTATCGGGAGCTCCATTTCGAATGGCTGGCAAGCAAAGACTGAGCATCCTAGAGAAGTGCCTGCGTGCTTATGTGGTAGCGGAGAAGGCACCACTCACAACAGTGTTGCCAACAACCGTATTAAAACTTTCCGTACGTCTCCAAAAAATAGGAGACCCTTTTTTTTTGGGATTGCCCTCATATCATCCCATATTTCCCAAGTTTTTATTTCACTTTCGAAATTAACATCATCCCTTTTATATGGTTTTGGTGTTCATCAGCTTCTGTCGCACTTCTCCATATTTTCAAACTTCTTAATTCACTTTAGATTCTATTTGCCCATATAAAGTAATTATCATCAGTTAATTTTTCTATGTGACTCAAATTTATCATATTATATGCCGCATTATAGTCACTAATTATAAGTCAAATTTATCCCTTAGAGAAATTAGCGATGTTGTTAAGCCTAAACAACGTTAATGTTCTATATGAAAGTTCATCAACAGAGGGGACAACCACGCTCTGCAACCAAATGTTGGTTTGGAATTTGCATATAAATGATATTCTCTAAGAATTTTCTAATTCCAATAAAAGCACATTATAGTAAAATATAGAAAGAACACTTTATTAAATAAGCTTAATCACAACAAGACTTAATGCATTCTACAAAACCGTAACAAACTCTGTAGATGCCAGATACATTTTTTTAACTCATTCTTTTACAATTTAAGAAAATATCAATGTTGCCAAAATATTAAAATGTAAAATTATACTTCATAAACAAATATTCCTCTAAAAGCCTGTGACTTTGAAAGGTAAACTAGTTAACCAGTAAAACCTCCTTTCAGCCTATGTTAAACTCCCAGTATTCAGCACCCTTAACCACTCAGCCACTGGTGGGGCCTGTCACCTCAAGTAGATTGGCTATAGAACAAGTACTAGTAGCTTTGTAGACTAGTGTGAATGAGGAAGGAACTATTTCTGGGAGGTATTAACATATCATGAAGGCTCTCAAAATTAAATTCATGGAAGATTCTAAATAGTAAGCGTAATCCATTTATACCTTCCAATATTGATACTACACTCATCTCCATAAATTAAGGATAATTCGGAGTCACGCAGAAATCGAATTCTAAAATAAATATATCACCTGTAAAATCACTACACAGATCTTCTAGAATCATAGGCAAATTTCAGGAAGTAACCAGACGACACCGATGGTACGTCACAATGACAAGAGTGTAAGAGAGTGATATATAAGGAATACAGGCAAAGAAGTAAAATTGTTCGCAGGTGCTTTATAAGCATTTCAGTGCAATAACCGAATAGTTATGACACAAAGGACGCACTTGGATGATTTTTTACGTGGTAGAATTATTGGCCGTCTGGAATGTGAGCGTACCAAACTGGAAGTATCAGACGAACTTGGAATTGCCCAGAGTATCATCTCCAGGCTTTCGCAATGATTCCAAGATGATAGTAATGTGAGTAGACGTTACAGCACAGGTCGCCCCAGAGTTACAACGCCGAATGAGGACCGGTATTTGGCAGTTACTGCCAAAACAAACAGGTGGAGCACAGCCTGAGACCTGCCTCGTCAGCTCTCTTCAGCCACTGGTACGACAATTTCAAGGCAGACCGTGTACAGACGCTTAGGGCAGATTGGTTTATATGTTCGTAGACCTGTCAGATGCGTTCCACTTACTGCAACTCACTGTCGCCTGCGGTTAGCCTGGAGTAGAGAGCATGCACTGTGGACACCCGCAACAGTGGGCTTGTGTGATGTTTTCCGACGAGTCCAGGTTTAGCTTGCAGTCTGATTCTCGCCGGACTTTCATATGGAGAGCTCCAGGTATTCGTTACCACCAAGAAAGCATCATTGAACGACACCGTTACGGTGGTGTAGGAGTGCTCGTTTGGGGTGGAATTATTCTGGGTTCCAGAACTGACCTTCATGTTCAAATTGGAATCATGACAAGCCATATCTAT